AGCGTCCGCCGCCTGGGCGGCATCCTTAAGCCGACAGGTGCACACAGGTGGGAGCCCACAACCCTGCTGGTGGAAGGCACCCACCGAGGATACACCTGCCGGCTCTGAAAGGACGCCTGAGTGCCTCAATTCCCAGCTGGAGAAGACTGTCCGCCAGGGCCTGGGAGAAAAAGGGAACATCCTGCAACTAAAAGAAGGAGGGGGCCACTCGGTTCCAAAGCGGGAACACCTCCAGGGTCTATTATTTAAGGTAATATAGCATGTTACCTTTTGTATAAGAAAGGAGAATAAAATAAGAATAAAAAATTTTAGTTGCTTGTATGTGCAAAAAGCAATTCCGGAAGGACCACAAAAACAAATAAGCAGCTAACCTGAGGGCCTGGGGGCCTGACTTCCCACTGGGCACTGTTTCAGTTTTTTAACATGTGAATGTACCGTCAATGGCTTGCGTGTGTGTGTATGTGTGTGTGTGTGTTTCACAAGGAGAAGAAACACTAAATTGGAAAAGAAGAAAAGGATGACCTACAGGCCAAAATTTTACTTAAACGGTCACTCATATTTTTTAAAAAAGAAATCCCCCAACCCCATCTCCATATGAAATCATTTTGATGTTTCTCCACCAAAGTTCTTGTTGACTTTCCTTACTGGCAGGAACAAGATTTCTGCGTTTTAAAGAAAAATGGCACTTTGAAATACTGTGCAGACAAAAAAAACCCTACCAGCCCCTAGTTCCTGCACTTAATCACTAAATTAAATCTGAGTTTCCTATAAGCACAGGATGTGAAAACTTCAGGAAAGGCCAACCCAGAAAGGCAAAGGGGACACACCACTTGTGCCCCAGTCCTGCATGTGGGTGTGGGCCGTGCGGGCCCTGCCCCGCGGCTACTGGGCGCTTTCCACAGCGCAGCAAAGAAGTCCCTGGAAACATGGCTCTGTGTAGAGGCTTGCATGCTCTCGGCCTGCCTGGTGGGACTGGACTGGGCTTCCTGCCCCACAGAACACTGCCAGGCCTTGTGAGCAACCCAGGGTGAGGCTGGGGGCTGCTTTGTGCCCGAACCTCAGCTTCCCAAAACAAGGCCCATCTCGGACTGCACCAGCTCCATCCGTAAGGCCAGCCCTGCCCACCAGTGGAAAAGGAGGCTGTTCGTCAGAATCCACCTGGGGGAATGGTTCCTCGTGCCTGCAAGAGCCTCGGTGCCGAGGCAACAGTGCCACCCACACTGAGGATGGGACACTGGGCCAGGTGTCCCCTGTCCCGTGCATGAGGACAGGGAACCCCCATTTCCACCTGTCATCACATTTCTACACCTGGTAAACAGATGAGAAGCAGAGATTAAGTTCAAAGTGTCAGATTCAGCTAGATTTCCTTTCAGTTCAGTGGTAGTAGTTTGTGTGTGTGGGGGGGGTGTCGGGTAGATCTTTCTTACCCAACAATAAAATATAATCATAAAGAAAGGCAAGCAGACATTGTGGAAACACAACTGACTGACTTGGGCTCAAACAGTCTTTGGCATGGAAAACTCCAGAAGCAAACTCCAGAAGCCCCTCACCGGTTGTCCCTTTCAGCTGGCAGAGCTCCGCAGCGCACACACGCACCCCTGTGACTCCTGGGAGCAGCATCCTGGCTGGCCCCGGAGGGCCTGGCGCTCTGCACACTTGGCAGCTGTGGACATAGTCGCTGGGGGTGGAAAGGGGTGGGGGTGCAAACTTGGGGAGGAGGGCTGTGTTGGGGCCTCAAAGAAGGGCTCTACCCAAAGACTAGACCAGCCCCAACCACTCCCAGGGGTACCCTGGTCTGCCCGAGTCCCCTGAGAAGACGCCCCAGAGGGCCGGTACAAGATGGCTGGCTATCCTCACTTCTGCCAGGTCAGGTGGGGCTCCCCACTGGCTAAAATGGCCTGTACTATCTGCTCCTTCCCTGTTCTGTGATTTGGCTCAAGAACGGGGTCCAATGGCCACGGCTCCCCCAGGAAGGCCCTTTGGATGAGGGAGTGAGTCCTGGCAGGGAGTAAACCCTGCTCCCCTCTGGGCTTCCATCGGACCTCTGTTCTGAGAAGGGGTGGTCCCCAAGTACCACCCTCGCTGGCACCGAGTCTCACAGCAGTCTGCAGAAGGTGCCTCACGGGGACGTGGGCACCTGGCTTCTGGCTCCAGCCTGTTATGCACCGGGCGTGTCCTGGGAAAGTCCTGCCGGCTCCGGGCCCATCTACACAATGAGAGTCGTCCTGCATGAGCCCAGGGTGTCCCCACCCTGCCCTGAGAGGCTGCTGTGCCCAGCCAGCTTTGACGTGACTTGTGGCCTGGCACCAAATTCAAATCTGAACTGTACCTCTGCACCAGTGGTCCAAATGGCCCCCTTCAGGCAGACCACATCCTGAGCTCTGGCCCAACATCTGCAGGACCTCCAGCTCAGTGTGGCTTGAACCTGACCTGGAACCTCTTTCCCTAAGCCCTTCAGGAGGACCAAGGCCTTGCTGCAGGGCCTCGGGCCTGGCCTGCTGCTCCCTGTCTGTCTGCCCGCCGGGTTTGCCTGTACCTCCTGCCCACTCAGCTCTCTGCTGGGAGGCCCGCCCTCAGCCAGAATCACCCCTTAACACACCTCCTGCTCCTCCACAGCCCCCACAAAACCCTCCTAGGACCTCTCTGCCTAGAGCCTCCATCCTGCAGCCCCCCATCCACACCCACGGGCTGGCTGGCAGGGCCCTGTGGGGCTTGGCCAGGGAGTAAGTCTTCTGCTCACGGTACCCCTGATGTCTGGAGGAACAGGGCTGGGTGCTGAATGAAGGGTTGAAATGATGCTCCATTTGGGGTGGAATCCTACCTCTTGCCACTACGACTGGTGTTTCCCTAGGCTCCTTATGCAACTTGAGTTTCTCTTTCCCCATCTGTAAAATGGGGAAATAAAACTGACTTCATGGGGAAGTAACGGGATGAGATGAGATCATTAACAGGGCCTGGCTCAACAGGATTTCAACACTGCTTTACAGGCCCAGCTGCACCAAGGTGGAGGCAGAGGGGCCCATGCTGCCGAGAGCAGCCCCAGGTAGAGGCAGCATAGGGGGGGGGGGCATTTACTGGTTGGCACCCCAGCTGGCAGTGGTCTGTGAGAGCAGAAATCCCAGGCATGCTGGGGAAGGGAGGCTGCACTGGCCTGTGTCGGTCCCCAGAGTCCTGCGGGAGTGAGGGGAGGCAGTCATGCATCCGGGCTCAGCCGGCATGTCCCAGCTTGCCCGGGCAGGGAGGGTGGCTGTGGACATGCCCGCTGGCAGCGGGTGTGGCTAGACATTCCTGGGCACAATCTGCCTCTGTGGGCTCAGCTGTCCCCACCCTCAGAGCCACGGGTGAGTGGTGGGGACAGTGTGTGGGCTCCTGAGTGCTGGAAGCCCTGTTACAAGACTGCCTCTCCTGGAGACACTCACTTAGCTGCAGGGTAGGGTGGGGGGACTTGCCCCGGACTCCTGCCCATCAGGCACCCTTCCTGAGCTGGCCTGTTCTCTTGCCCCATCTCTCTGGCCAAATCCAACACTGGCAGGACAGGGCCTGCATCTTGGGGCAGCAGGGAAGCAGAGGGCTGGGAGTCCCAGCTCTGCCCAATACCCCAGGAGTCACCTCACCATGTCCCATCCCCTCTCCTCCAAGCTGCCATGAGGGACACCAGGAGGTGCCCGTGGGAACAGAGAGGCAATAAAGATCTGGGCGGCTGCACTGTGCTCACCAGCCTTCTGGATGTTCGCGGCCACCAGCCCAAAGCACGCCTCAGCCTTTGCTGCCCAGGAGCATCCTGGAAGGGAACCCCCAGGGAGGCAGGGAGGAGGGGGGTCTGTGTTCTCCACCAGGACCAGGCCAAACCCATCCCGGCAGGAGGTACAGATCCTGGGTCAGGAGCAGACTCCCTGGGGATATTTCCTTAAAGGGACCCTGTCCTCAACAGAGTGGTGGTGGTGGTGGGGAGCCCTGGGCATGTTCTTTGCAACCAGAGAGACAGAAGTGAAGGGTCTGCCGCTCTAGCTGAGTGACTCTGCACAAGTCACTTAGCACCACAATGGGATCCAGACATGGACCTCCCAAGGGAAAGCGTGGAGCCTCGGTTCAATGCCTCAGTGTGCCGGCAGAACATGCTTCCCACTCAGAGGCCCGACCGTGGTTCAGGAAGGCTTGGTCAGGGCGGGCCCCTGCTTCGTTGACTTTCCCAGGGACGCGCCTCAACATACCTGTGAATTTCCTGACAGGCTTATATTTTCCCTTCCCATTTTTTCTCTTTGGTTCATGCCTGTTTAAATGCTTGGCCAGACATGCAAGCACAGTACCGCATCTCAAGGCATCAGGAAGCCCAGACAGTCCAAGTTGATGCACCCGCGGTGGAGGCCCCGGGGCTGCACTGGGTGGACCTCTCGCTTCCATTATCTCAGCATCTGATCCCAAGACAGGCTCTCCCAGCATCCAGGGTACTTGCAGACAGCCCGGGTTTGCCTCCGCCAGCTCCCACAGAGGGGTGGGGCAGGGCAGGCTCCACCCCGGCTCCGGCTGGTCAAGCCCGTGCCCTGAACCCCTGCACTACCCTGTGCTGCTGCCGGAAACAGAATTCAGAATGGAAACCCGACCTAGTTTCCACTCCGCAGCTCCCAGCCATCCTCACATGCTTCTTGGTAAAAAAAAAAAAAAATCCCAGAACAACAGCCAAAGGCCCTTGGGACAAGGGCCCCAAGATGGCCCGGAGGGGTGTGCAGGGCTTGGAGAGGCCCCAAATCACTCTTAAATGCAGACAGTTCTTCACGAACAGAAAACAGACCCACGAAGTAAGCTACCGTAAATTCTACCCGTCACCCCCTGGACACCTGTCCCGGGAACAAAGGGCATTTCTAGGGGTTCATTCTCGTGTCCTAGCAGCTGTGGGGCCTCTGATGGTAGGGGAGCAAACATCTACCAAACACTTACCCTGAGCTCGGGGGCATCGTCCCCCGGGACCCTCCCAACAACAGGGTGGGCGACGCTGTACTCACTGGAGGCTCAGAAGCTTGCCACGGCCATGCATGGCATCGGCGGGAGGATCTGGACCCGGCGGTCTGCTGTGGGGTGTGCGTATCCAAGCACAGAAAGGAGAGAAAGAGGCGAAGGACAGGCCTGCAGAACGCCGGCAAGACCACAGCCGGGCAGGAGGCGGAGAGGGGGTGCCGGGCTGATCCAGGTGGGACCAGGCCCCCAGCCTGGTGGGAGAAAGGGGCAAAGGCCATGAGGACGTTACTCTTCCCTGCGGCCCACCCCCAGGTGATGAATGATGGGTTGGGGGAAAGGATGGAAGCCCAGAGGAGAAGGCAAGGCCACAAGACAAAAGAGACCAGCACAGCGCCACGGACAGCACCCTCAGCACGCATCGACCCCCAGACTGCCTCCTGAGGGTCCCACAGCTCCGCCACCCCACAGCCCCTGCAATGCCTGATGATGATGACTCGGGGAGCCTGACTCTGGCCCCTGCTCCCAGCGGCACGCAGGTCCAGATGGGTGAGGCCGTGTGGCGGAGCAGAGGACACGCCCTCATCCAGAAGACCGGCCTCTGCTTCTAGGCCCCAGCCTCTGGCTAAGACTGTCACTGGCTGAGCCCAGGTCAGAAAATGGGCCTACTTCTCTCTTGCAGAAATGTCTGTTGATTTGGAAAAAGCACAGAACCCATGGGGAAGTGCCCCCCTTCCATCTGTAAGCGGCCGCCACAGAAAGGAGCTGCCAGGCAACACATGTGGTTGGCAGAAGCCCGGGTTCACCAGAAAGCTGAGCCCAGAGCCACAGGGGCCTCAGGAGATAAGGGTCTGAAATCCCTGTGGGAGCCATGACCTTAGCAGAAGCCCCTAGACCACAGAAGAGGGCTCCTTCTCTACCCTGTCTTCCAAGCAAGTAGGTGGGTCTTAAGAAAACAGAAGCTGATAATAGTAACTTGACCCCACCCTTACCTGGGCACCCACTAGTCCAGCCTCTACCCTACGGAATTAGCACTACAGCCTCATTCATTCCCCCAGGGCTTCTAGGAGGCACGTGTCTGTGTTTCTACTTTATAGACAAGGAAACTGAGGCCTAGGGAGTTGAGGAGCTAGCCAAGGTTACTGAACATTGGTGGGAGCCTAAGGCCATTCTCTACCTGAAAATGACATGCATGTGCAACATGCTCATATGCACACACACCCCTACATGTCCCCCCTTCCCCACCCTGCAAACCTCGAGGGAGAATGAGCCATGGGGACCCTCCCTGGCAGGCCACTGCAACTGCAGCCAGTGGCAGTGCTGGGCAGGCTCAGGGCACAGAGCCATCATTACTCTCTTCCTCAGGGCCGCTCGGACCCTGCTGTGGCTTTCTGGCAACTGCCACAAAGCAGGTCGGGATCCCAATGAGGCTGGGGCTCCAGAAAAAAAAGGGAGGCAAGCTGGAGCCACACGAGTGCACCAACTCAGTGACGGGTCCTCCTCTCGCACCAACGTCTCTCCTGGAAGTTATGGAAAAAGCAGGCCAGCATCGAGGGGCAGAGTGACTGTGCTACAACAGACGGGGTGTCAGAATAGCCCACAGGGCCCCAGATGCCACCTCCTCAGGCCTGGCACCTCCCACTGCAGGAGGTCTGGTCTGGGCCCCCCCTGTGGCCTGACAGGTAGATGGGTATTCAGGTGCTTGCAGATGACCCGAGCAGCCACACAGCAGCAGCCAGGCTGACGTCCTGTGGTAGCAATGTCCCAAACAAGGGACCCCAAGTCCTGTGGGTCAGGAACCCCCTCCCGACACATGTATATTCACTATTTACAGTCACAGAAATGCAAGACCGACTCCTGAGAGAAAGGGTGGCCTTCTCTCTTTCTTGCCCTTGAAATTGGTTCTCACTGCAAAACTAATATAAGCCAAGAATTTTCCCTCTAATTGTTCCAGCAGGGTGAGGGCGAGGCCAAAATATTCCCCTTTAAGCTGCCGCACAAAGCTCTCCGGCGGCCAGGCCAAGCCGCCTTTCGCGTTCTGCTTTCGCTTGTGCTCCCTCCCTCTTTAATCTCCGCCATTGTCCCCTCTAAGTGAGACCTCACAGTGTTTTTGTGAAAGCAAGAAAAATTGGCATTCCTGAAGGTATTGTGGGACCTGTCGAGGCAGAATCACTCACATATGCCTTTTTTTCTCACTATTAGCTTGAGATGATCTTAGAGAAAGAGTGATACACACAAAACCCAAACAAAAGCATCCCTTCCTCGATGGCCGATGAGAAATAAAGCCACTCTCTCTGTCTCCTGAGAAAAACATCAACTGCCAGAGCGCTCAGGTTAACGGGGAAGCACAGAATGAAGCACCCCACTCACCCGGCTGAACACAAGAAAGTAACTTCCAATTGATTGGGGGGAAAATTAATTGCAGCTTTAGAAAAATCTTTTCTCTGTGGCAGGGCCTTGGGACCATTGAAGCCAGGCTGCTTTTCGGGGCTCTGAGCAGCTACCGCCATTCACCACTCGTAGGTGGCTGATAAACTTCCCGGGCTTTATCAGCGTGGAGACTGCGCCGCGCTCTTTCAGCAGGGGCTGCAGCAATCTATACGGGTCCACTCAAATCAGTCAGAAGCTGTGAAAGGCGCCATCACTCGCAGCCCGAGCCGGGCCGCCCAAACAGAGCCCCGGGAGGGCCAGCAGGCGGGCTCAGGGCCGGGAGGACGGGGCCAATTAAAAACCCAAGCCTGTGGGCCTTTCTCTTCCTCATTTTCATTCCTACAGCTACATTGTGTCCACTGGCAGCACTTCCAAAAGCAAGGCAGACACATTCACTCCCCCGGGCTTTACAGCCGCCATCCCCACACTAGGCTAATTAAACCATGGTCCCTCCCAGGCAGCTCTTGGGAAGGAGCGAAGACAGAAGACTCAGAATGTGAAGGACCTCTACAGAGGCTGTACTCTTCCAGGGGAGGCGGGCAGACCGGGAGGATGGATCTCCTTCAGACGTCATCCCATCCTCAGGGGCACAAGGTCTCTGGAAGGAGTAGGGTCCACCTGGGCATCTGCCCCTGGGAAAAACTGGCCCCTCAGGTTTCTGGAACATTCTAGTGCTCCCTACGTGTGCCAGAGGCCTCCAAACCTGCTCAGGAAGACAGGTGAATGTGGTATAGATGGGAATGGGCTGGTCTGCAGCTTACATAGCCCTGCTCCAGGGCTGACATGCCTCTAGGTGGATCACCACCCCGTGCTCTCAGGATCCCCAGCAGACAGCAAGCAGCCTGCTGGGGTTCACTGGCTACTGAGACAGTCACAGCTGGGGATGACGGGACCCAGGTCACTTCCCAATTGTTTATCCAAGGCCCAGTCCTCACCCCTCTGGGCCTATTTGAGCTGGAAAGCAGCAATCATGAAAGTTCCCTTGCAGAGCTGCTGGACTAGCACAGTGCATGGCTCACACACAATCTCCCCCAGGGACAGCCAACGCTGTGACCACCGACCATAGCGCTCCCCAGTGGCCACTGCCCCTTCAGAAGCAGACCAGGGAGCTTTGGTTCTACAAGGGCAAATTGGAACCCCAGAAAAGGACAGGGGCCCTCACTGCCCCTTCCCAGTGCCCTTCAGAATTCCAGGACAGTTCCTAGCCCAGCAATGGATGCAGATGTGGGTGGCAGCTCTGTTCTTTCCAAAACGCGCGTTAATTCCAGCTGACCTGTGCACTCTTGGCAACCCTCCCCCGAACTGCCAGGGTAGGGGAGCTGTTGGGTGAGGCCCTCCCCCAGGAACATCTCAGAAATGCACACTGCTCAGGGGTTTCTGCCACAGAGGGAGGCCACAGACAACCTCCCTGGGTTGCTCAAAGAGGCTTGTGGTATCAGTTTCCCAGATGGCATCAGGAGAGGGGATCTGGAGAGATCAGCCAAGGTGAGAGCTTGACCCAAGGGGTGGGTGATGGCAGGGCCAGCAATGGAAATGGGGGAGGGGTAGAGGAGGGCAGCCTTGGTGGTTTTCCAGCCACAGCCTCCTCCGGTTGGAAGGCCAGGAGACAGAGGGGATGGTGTATCAAGTCCCTCGGCTGTGGGACCCAGCACTGTCCAGAGCATCTGCCCCCGAGTGGGTATGGGTGGTCCACACCACACCCAGAATCCTGCAGGGCCTGCCTCTCACATTCTCCCCTGAATGAAAGGAAGAGGACTCACAGGTGTGAATGCCTACCTGCTGAGCAGAAGCCAGGCTCGCATGGCAACGAAGCAGCACTGGTCACCTCCCTCGGGTTATCAGTGCACAACACCAGGCTTCGCCTTACCGCTGGAGGCACGGGGGTCCCAGGCTAAGCTCAGGCATGAAGGGACCCAGGCTAAGCCCTTCATGCAAAAAGGGGTAGCCTGGGCCAGCTCAGGTGCTCCGGGAGGCCTGCACGCAGGGCAGACTGTGCCACCACCCTCTGTGGGCACACCTGCTCCTGCCCTACCTCTTCCTTAGCAGATCTGGGACCCGGGATCAGCTTCCTTTTTCTCTTTCAGGTTTTTTAAAATCCACAATTGAGACTCATAATAAAAATGATACTAATTCTAGCCAAGTGCTTCCTCAGGCTGAGAGATTCAGTCCTTGCCCCTGAAACAGGCTCCAGGCTGGGGATGGGCTGCGGTGGCGGCAGTGCCCCACCTCAACTCTGGCCTCCAAGGATGGACAATCAATGAGGCGAGCTCTGAGGGCAGACAGGTGATGGTAAATCGAGTAGGGCTTGTGCCAGGCAGTTGCTAAGATCAATCCAAGAATCCTGAAATCCTGATTAATGGGCAAGATGGCTCTGCTTTGGCAGTAGGACCCAGGCGCCTTTTCTCAAGAAAAGTAGCACCGCACACTGCTGGCAGCTGCCTGGCAGAACGCCTGCCAGCTCCGCCTCTCTGGAGGGGCTCAGGGGAGACTCTGGCACTGCCTGGGAACTGGCAGAAGAAGTGCACTGAGAAATCGTCCCACGGTGTCACTATTCTTCGCAGCTCCTGGGACATGGACTCAGGGATGGAGAGAACAGAAAGCACGGGGCCAATCTGGGGGGCAGCAGGCCCCATCCTGCCCAGTGTCTTCAGGTAACAGGACGCTTTGCCGCCCAGCCCCACCCACCCTGCCTGGCACCCGAGCCGAGTGGGCACTGAGAAGGTACCCCTCCTTTGCCACCACCCAGTTCACAAGGATCAGATTTCTTGTCTGAGGCCAGACACGTAACAGAGCCCCATGGACTGCAGCCACCAGGAGGTCAGGA